GTGTGTGTGTGTGAGAGAGTGTGTGTGTGTGTGTGTGAGAGTGTGTGAGAGTGTGTGTGTGTGAGTGAGTGTGTGTGTGTGTGTGTGTGTGTGTGTGAGTGTGTGAGTGTGTGTGACTGTACCTCCATGTTGGGCACCACCAGCAGGTTGGAGATCTTGGTTGTGTCATTGATGAGGCTGTTCCAGTCCAACAGATCAATGGTTCTGCAAGAACAAAGCAGAAACAATGGTCAAAAACACACATAGGTCTAGCTTGGTTTATACAGAGTCAGTTGAAGTGTAAAAAGTAGAGATCTGTAAAGGGTGTAATAAACTTTAGGGACTGGGAAAGTAAGTTGAAGTGACAGTCGAGGAGTTTTACCCTGATGAACCCAGTTTCTCTCCAGTAAACCAGTTCTCAATGTCTGATTTTGCACCAACTCCCAGTTTGATCAAACTGTCCTGCAGGTAAAAAAGACAGAGAATGTTATATATAAAATGTAGTACTTTTTGAAAGAAGCCTCTTTTACTCACAAAAGACTATTTATTTGATTAAAAATACAGTAATATTGTGAAGTCGTGGTTTAATGGTTAGAGAGTCGGACTCATAACCCAAAGGTTGTGGGTTCGAGTCTCGTACCGGCAGGGATTGTAGGTGGGGGGAGTGAATGTACAGCGCTCTCTTCCACCTTCGATACCACGACTGAGGTGCCCTTGAGCAAGGCACCGAACCCCCAACTGCTCCCCGGGCGCCGCAGCATAAATGGCTGCCCACTGCTCCGGGTGTGTGTTCACGGTGTGTGTGTGTTCACTGCTGTGTGTGTGCACTTTGGATGGGATAAATGCAGAGCACTAATTCCGAGTATGGGTCACCATACTTGGCCACATGTCACGTCACTTTCACACTTTCACAAATATTATTACAATTCAAATGAACTGTTTTCTATTTAAATACGTTTTAAAATGTAATTTATTCCTGTGATCAAAGCTGAATTTTCAGCATCATTACTCCAGTCTTCAGTGTCACATGATCTTCAGAAATCATACTAATATGCTGGTTTGCTGATTATTATCATGTTGACAACAGCAGTGCTGCTTCATACAGCATTTATTATAAAGAACAGCATTTATTTCAAATGGAAATCTTTTTTTTTTTTTTTCAATCAACTGAATGCATAATTTCTGAGTAAACGTATTAATTTATTAAAAAATAACTACTATACACAAACTCATTTTTATTATTATTATTTTAATTTTAGCATATTAAGCCTAATTTTTTTTTTAAATAAGCACATAAATATTTGTACACATTTGTCTTTAATTGTTAACTGTCCTAAATACGACATCAAAAATCAGAATAGACCACATTTACTTTCTAGATAAATATGTCTGGCTGTTTTTATAAAATACAAATTTCATTTTCTTAAACCAAGCCCCACATCATTTCCTGCTGAATAATAATATGCATCCGTTTTGAAATGGAATTACAGAATTGAAATGCATTGCAATGTTTTGTGAATGAAAGCAAATTAAATATTGACCACACTAAAACACTAACATCCCAAACCCTGTCAATCATCTACTTTTCATAAGCATTATAAACAGAGACTTCGAGTGTCAAGCACAAACCTGCAGTTGTTCGAGCTCCAGCTTCTGCTCGAGTATCGCCATGCCGTCCTTCCCCTGATGAGCCGCCAACAGATTGAAGAACCTCCTCCACTTCACCAGCACCTCGGAGAACTGCAGCTTTAGTAGAAATCAGACCAGATGAATCACACAGACACAATCATACTTGACAGAAACTTGAGCGAAAGAGAGAGAAAAGGAGTTACCAGGAACTGCGGCCGGCCCAGTGCCGTCATCTTAATGGCCGAGAATCCATCCACAGAGCTTCCAGCTACAACACAATTACCAGGGGCGGATTTAGTGAATTGGGATAGGAATGGAGCCCTATACATTTGCACACATTTTCCTAGATCAACCTTGAGGTTCCTTTTTTGTTGTGATGCTTGCTGCTGCACAATGGTGCCCCATATTTGTGTCCAATGTTTCTACATTTTTCATGTACATGTTATAATGGCTTTCTTTCATGTTGTAGACCACGAAATAGCAACTGATTTACAGTTGAGATACAGGTTTTCACAAAAACAAAATCAATTATAAAATGATAAACCTCACAACTGAGCGTTTAAACCAGGGGTGAGTCAGAAGTGTAAATTATTGTGTTCATTTAAAACGGGGTTATGTGGGTGGATTTTTGCATTGATCTGAACAAAAACTACAGACT